GCTCCGAGCGGGAGCTCCTTGCCATCGCTGCGGCCTTGCGCCAGCTGCGCGTTGGCGGCGGCAATGCCCCCCGGCCAAGATCTTGCCCCCCCGACGGGGGCCCTTCGGCCGGCGGCTCCGCCACCCCGCCCCCCCTCGGGGAATGGGGCGCTTCATCTTCAACCCCGCCGGGCGATCGGCGTTTGGCGCCAACTGGGCGCCTCCTCCCTTGTCCTTCGTTGGATTCGGGAGGGTGTCCCGGTGGTTTGGACCGGTCATCCTCCAGCCCCGTTCCATCACGGGGTCTGCCGGCTTGCGGGGGATGCACTCACGGCGTGGGAGGCGCTGCGCGACACCTACCTCCAGACAGGCGCCCTCCGCCGCTCCCGGAGTCCCCCGACCCATGTCTCCCGCGCTTTCCTGGTGCCGAAGAAGGACGGCGGCTTCCGCTTGGTGGTGGACCTGCGGCACATCAACAGCCATACGAGCAAGATCAGCACCAAGTTCGAGACTCTCCGCTCCTTCCTCCCCGCCCTCCGACCGGGCCAGTTCCTTGTGGCGTGGGACATTCGCGACGCGTTCCATCATCTCCGGATCGAGGACCGCTCCGTGTCCTACTTTCAGTTTCAGATCAACGAGGAGCTCTTCGAGGCCCCTGGGTTGACCTTCGGGTGGAGGAACTCCCCCCCGGTCTTCACCAAGTTGATGCGACCGGTGGTGGCGTTCCTCCGCGCCCCCCGCACGAGCGCCCCCCGTCGCCCCCGCCATCCTGCCCTTGCCGCCTACTGGGATGCGAACCCGGCCCCGACCCTCTCGCCCTACATGGACGACTTTGCGGGGGGCCTTCGGGGCCGCTCGGCGACGCGGAAATGGGGGATGCATGTGCGCCACCTCCTTGCGGCCCTGGGCCTGACGATCAAGCCATCCAAGTGCACATGGGAGCCGACCCAGGTGCTGCCTCACCTCGGGGTCATCCTGGACACCAAGGCGGGGCTGATCATTGCCCCTCCCGCCAAGGTTGCGGCCATCCGCGCGGAGGCGTCCGCCCTCTTGGCTCGTCACCAGCACCCGATCCCGGCCAGGGTGATCGCCCGTTTCTGTGGCCGGGGTCAGAGCCTATCGCTCCCGGTGCCCTCCGCCCGGTTCTTTCTCCGGAGCCTTTACAACGATTTGGCGACGAAGACCAGCTGGCGGGGGACTCTCCGCCTTTGTTGCCAGTCGCTGCGGGACCTGGCGTTCTGGGCCCGTTTGGGTCCCAGGACGTCCACGTCGGTCCTATGGCACCCGCCGGCGACGGCGACTCTACATACGGACAGCTCCCCATATGGTTGGGGAGCTTCGCTGGTCCTACCCTCTCAGGGCCCGACCCCTGTTCTGGCGAGGGGTTTCTGGCCCCTGCCCGACCGCGCCTTGCACATAAATGTGCTCGAGATGCGGGCGGTGGGCCTGGCGCTGCAATCGTTCCGCCAGCGGCTTCTGGGCCGGCGGATCAATCTCTACACGGACTCCATGGTCGTCAAGTGCGTCCTCGACGCGGGGACCTCCCGCTCGACGCCCCTCATGGACTCCCTTCGGCGGGGCCATTACCTCGCATCGGCCCTCCGTCTATCGCTCAACCCGGTCTGGCTACCCACCGAGTCCAACCTGCTGGCGGATGCCTTGAGCCGGACGCGGGACACGGAGGACTGGGCCCTCCATCCGCGCGCCTTTCAGGCGCTCTACCGAACCTGGGGCCCCTTCACCATCGACCGCTTCGCGACGACCACCAACTGCCTGGTGCCTACGTTCAACAGCCGCTGGTGGTGCCCGATGACGAGCGGGATCGACGCCTTCGCCCAGACCGACTGGGGGCTGCACAACAACTGGTGCAACCCCCCGTTCTCCCAACTCCATCACCTGGTGAGCCTTCTGGAGTCCCTACCCCGGGTGCGCGCCACCGTGCTGGCCCCGATATGGCCTGCCGCGCCATGGTTCCGGCGTCTTCTCCTGCTCTCCAACGCGACCTGGGAGCTTCCGGTGTCGCCCGATCTCTTCACTGCGGGGCGGACGGGCACCTCCTTGGGCCCCCCCCGGTGGCGGGTCCTGGCGGTTCGCATCGATCGCTGCGATTCTCCCCACCGGGCCTCGCCCTTCCCTTGCCGCCCTGCTCGGACTTGACGGCCTCCATTCTCCGCGGGCTGTTTTCCATTACCGATTTCTCGCTGGAGCTTCCGCGGCTCTGCCTCGAGGAGCGGCTGGCCGTCATGCAGTCGATGGTGGAGGCCAACGCCCCGTCGGGCCGCGAGGCTATTTGGCGAAAGTTCCAAAAATTCGCCCGTATGTGCACCGCCCGCGGATAGCGGGCCCTCCCGACCTCGCCCGAGATGCTCTACGCCTTCGTGCTCTTTTTAAAGGCCGAGGGCCGGGTATCCGTGGACTCGGCCGGGGGCTACCTCTCCGCCATCTCTACGGTCAGTGCGTGGGCGGGCCTGGCGGGGGGCTCCGCCCATGACGCCATTACTGCCCGCCTCTTGCGGGCCTGGCGCATCAACGCCCCTCCGGCCGCCTACCGCGACTCTGTCCTCGCTTTTCCGGCAGAGGACCTCTTCCGCTTGGCTGCCCTCGCCCTGGCCGAGCCCAATCCTTATCGGGTTCGGCCCTTCGTGTCCCTCATCCTGGACACGGTTTTCTTTTCGCGGGCGGACTCCGGCTTCCATATTCTGATGGACGACATCTGGCTCGGCAACCCCGCGGGCGACTCCACGGCGTCCTGTCCCACGCATCTGTTCTTTCGGGAGCGGCGCCACAAGTCGAAGTCCACTCGGGCCCTTCTCTGGCGCATCCGGGCCTTCGACTACTGCGGCTTCCCCGACCTGGCTCGGGTCGTCCGTCATTGGGTCCGCCTGCGCGATGTCTGCCGCGCCCAGCACCTTCCTGGCCGCCGCGGCCACATCGAGTTCTTCTACGGCCTTCCTTCTGATGCCCACCCCCCTTCGGCCCGCTCTGTTCAGACCTGGTTCCTCGAGGCCGCCCGCCACCTCACTGCGGCGGGGCAGGCCTACCGCCACCACTGCGTGCGGCGTACGGGGGCGTCCTCCGCCTTTGCCGTACTGGTGCCTGAGGCCCAGGTTCGTAATTGGGGGTGGTGGGCCCCGGGGTCCGCGGCTTTGTGGAAGTATGTGGATTTGCAACGGCGGCCTACTGAGTTTGACTACCGCCTTTTTGGCTGGATGCTTGTCGCCGCTGACTCCCTTCGCGACGAGATTCGTGACATCTTCTCCGCGCCGTCTCCTCCTCCTGTCCCGTCGCCTTGATGGGGGCCTCTTCGTTTCCCCATCCTTTCCGGCCCTGTACTTTGCTCGCGCTTGCCGTCCGGGCCGTATTGTTTGGAGATGGGCACTCTTTGGCTTGCGGGTGACATACCCGGGTTCTTGAACTGCATGGACAAGCTGTATTGGTGGGCTGATGACGGATAGGTGTTTGTTGGAGTTGGATCAGGTGGACATTTTTGTCACGGTTTGTGACGTTTTTCTGAATATGTAATTATAATTACATGTTCAGCCTGCCATTGGGCGGGAAGATCGCAGGGCTGTACTGTAAGGGATGGTTACGTCCAGTAAGCTAGTTTACGGGAGGCCCGAAGATGGGCGGGCGAAAAAATTGCTACCCGACAGTGTTCTGTCAGCAGGGCGCCCAGTTTGCGCGGGAACATGCTGCTGCTGGGGCCCCAAGGCAGGCAACGGTCCTTGGGGCCAGGTTTCGGCTCGTTCGGGAACTGTTTGGCGGCGCCGAGGCCTAAGGAGGCGACGCGCCATCAGACTGCACTTTGTTTTCTCCCCGCCCGCCCTCTCCTTGGGTTTTGTTGGGATTGTTTTGACATTGTTGAAACTTCGCTCGAGATGAACATTTGGGACCGGAAAAGGCACTCTTTGGCTTGCGGGTGACATACCCGGGTTCTTGAACTGCATGGACAAGCTGTATTGGTGGGTTGGTGATGGATAGGTGTTTGTTGGAGTTGGATCAGGTGGACATTTTTGTCACGGTTTGTGACGTTTTTCTGAATATGTAATTATAATTACATGTTCAGCCTGCCATTGGGCGGGAAGATCGCAGGGCTGTACCGTAACTGTTCACGACTCACGATTAGGAGCAAGCTGCGCTCGCGCTTGCACACATGCGCATTGCAGACACGATCTAACTGCACTCCAGCACTGACGGCAACTGTCCACGGCATGTTGCGGCTTTCCACCGCACGCCGTGCGCGGGTCGTTGAGTAGGCATTGCTGAACGCGTCCATTCGGTTCCCTGTATTCGCAAGCCCACAAGAACACTCCCCACATGGACAAGCTGAGCACGACGGTTGCGGTACACGAGTGGATTTGACGAAGCCCTGTTTCCCATACAGCTTGTTGAACCAAAGGCAATGTAGCACCCATATCCACTGTCACGCTTGGTCTTCGATCTGCAAGTCGACTCCTTTGCGAAGTGTCGTCGTAAGACCCAACTTCCAGGTTGATGGAGGGGTGTTTTACGATGGCCATTCTTGCCGCAGGCGGCGCAACAGAGCCCTTTCACCGCAATCAACGACGATGCAACACTGAACCCCAAATCCGGATTCCTTCGCCAACAACAACCCATTGAGTCGGAAAGGGTCCACATGCATGGGGCGGTAATCCTAAGCCTCCGACACCCGTACCAATGTGAACGCACAAATCAGAAAAAAGAAGAAAAGAAACAGGGCCCCGTGGTACAGGACGCAGTCAGTGCAGCCCGCCTTGCCTCCGTTGTGGGCAACTCCTGTAGCTTTTGGTTTCAGCAAGGACGGATCACCGCCAATCCAGATGATAACGCTTCCCCGAACTGGGAGACAAGGCCCACTGCTGTCGTGTGGCAGTCGCGTAGCCAATGAGGCCGCAAGGCCGGGCTCTCCCTGGCAACTTAGTTGATGACGCTTTTGCAAGGCGATGGACGGAAGCAGTGGCCCTTCTGATGCCCACCACCACTGCAGGCTCCCAGCTTTCTGCAACCCACAGCTGCAGTCTTGGTTGTTTCCTTGGAGACAATCGTGAAGAGTAAAGATATGGTGAAGGTAACAGCGTACGGCCAGTGTCCGCCAAAGTTCCATGGAAATTCCAACTGTTGGCTTTCGGTTCCTCGAGCGGCACATGCTTGCAAGCCGTTTTGCACGCACTCGCCATTGCGGAGCCACTAGAAACTGAAAGATAGGCACAATTAGACAGCACAATTTTTGTGTGGCTATTGGCGATGAAATATGCACGCCGATCAGTCATCAGGGTTGACCACTGGATAGAGTATTGAGCAGACACTGCCAAGGTTGCAGGTATTTTGGTGAAGCTCTCCATTCGTATCGATTGCATGGTGTCGTTCACTGCGCTGGTTGCACATGGGCAACTGCGATAAAGGACACCTTGTACACCACGCATCAGTCCCAGCCTCCGAGGTTATGGAGCTTGTTCATTGAAGCCTACGGCGAGTTGAGGATAGATGATTGCTTTGGCACCTTGGAGATGCAGTCTGTGCATCACATTTTCGAACTCCACAATGCAATCCTCTCGTTCAGGCCGTGGACTTCCCATTGCAGAACTCCATCGTACCCCATATCTGGAGTGTGGCGTTGGTTCTTTCTGCGGGCTGGTATCTCTTCCTTCCTGGACCTCCGCAACGTCTTGGAAGCTCTTGAAGTTGGGGTCTCCTTTCTTGGCAATGTGGTGCCTTGCTTGGATTCCAGCCGCTCAACAGAGGCACTCCACTATGGGGGCTCGAGTTTCGTGCATTTCTCATACGGGCTGCGCTGTCCTTGAACACCAGGTGTCCAGCAGCACTATTCCTCCCTGCGTGGAGAACGTTCATTGTGCCGGACAGCACCTTGACCTCCATCCCACCCTCAGCCCTTGACCTCCATCCCACACACACCAACGGCCCTCGGAACAAGATTTTCACGAAGCTATGAAATTACTACAACACCTGCTACTGCTGTGAATGTGGGCCCCACAGCTGAGGCATTCCTGATAGGACAATCGCCAGTCGGTTGGGGGGGAGGCTGCAACAGATGTGAGCACACATCTCTGGTGCCCATGTCCTCGTCGTCGCCCTAGATACTCAGCCACGACCACGAGCATGCTCCATGGAGGCTCACGAACTGACACATAACGCGAACGGCAGCCCTCCAAACATGTTGTTCCTTCACATCAGCTCAGCTGCAGATGAAGTAACAGAGTATTGGAGGTTGTTGGTCACGATTGTGGTGGACGACAGCAGGCGCCCGATGCAGGCAACTGACGAGCCAAGGGGCCCTGTCTGGCAGCTGAATTGTGCTCAGCACAGTCAATGAGATGACCAGCATGCCCTTGCTGGTTGCCCTCTTCCAGTGGTTTCCTTTGGCGCTGGCATGGCGGTGGCTGTTGGCAAAGGTTGTCACCACTGGCTGACAGCGTCTCGCCATGTGGGATTCCCTTGCCTTCCATGACCATCAAATGCACATTGGTTGATGGTGGTTCGCCCACGGTTATGTTGAATGGGCCAGTGTCCACCTGGGGGTCCTGCAAGGTGCAAGAGTTTCAGGCACCTGCATTGACAGCAGAGTCCCTGCATGTTGCAAAACACACTGAGTTGTCAAGGTGGCAGGAAGAAGGAAAATGCACAAAGCATTCTCCAGAACGCCTGTTCCAACATCTGACAGATGACTCGTGAAAAAACTCCCAAAATGGATTACTGGAATCTTCCAGAAGCGCCAGCAGCAACTTCGCTGCATGCTGCAGCTTGGTCCGATCTACAAGGTGTACCTGCACCACACCCACAACTGCCTAGCAAACAAAAAGAAATGCGATAGGATAGTCTACTGCATTTAGCGATGCTTGCCGAACGTCATCGGGGTGAATCCCAAACTGGACGCCAATCCCCTTTTCGCACCATCAACCCTCAGCATCATACCCTTCCACGTAATATTCACCTATCAGCTGACAAGGATCGACTGACATCTCACCATAAGCAGGCCCTCCAAACAGAAATGGGACACATAAAGTCAATTTTCCACCCACTACCCTGCACCAAGCACTGCCTTTTATGATCAGCACCCCTGGCCCTTCAGTCCGTTCTGGGCTGCAACAACAGCCATGACGACTGCCCAATCCGCTGCCGACACTCACCACAACAAGAGAGGGCCACCCGCTCCCACAGCGGATGCACCGCTCATTCGATCTCAAAGGTTGTGGGGCCTTGTCCGTTGCAGTGCAGCTCCCACATCTTCATAAACACCTTCTCCATGTCCCTCACCCACTGGTGTGTGTTAAACAAGGGGCACGTACTCCTGCGCCTCTTCAGCTCCTCCCTCAGGGCCAGCCGCTTCTCATGGTTGACCCCAAGTTCCACAGCCCGCTCCTCGTACTCCTGCTGACTGCTCACCACCATCTCCTCTCCCACGCCAGTGGCCATGCACAGGCTGGCAGCAACCCTGGAGGCCATCCTCTCCAGGGGAAGGGTCACTATTGGGCAGCCGCTCCACAGCACGTCACAGCCGGTGGTGTGCGCATTGCACAGGGGAGTGTCCAGGAACACGTCCGCCAGGCCCGACCGCCGGATGTGCAGATGCTTCTGTGCGACGTCAGTGAAAAAGATCCTGGTATGGTCGAGGCCAGCCTGAAGGGCGCGCTGCCGTATCTTGGACTCCCCATAAGGTGGGAATCGCAGCAGCCACAATACAGATTCCGGCACCCTCTTGAGGATCCTGCACCAGGTGTCAAACGTCTCGGGGTCGTATTTGTACAGCTGGTTGGAGCAGGAGTATATGATCTTGTCCTCAGGCAGCCCAAAGTCCGATCGCCTCGGCATCTTGGACTCGTCCAGGGTGTCCCTGAAGGACTGGTTGAAGTCGTTGACGAAGTAGCAGTTGGGCATGAGCGCCAGCTCCTCAGAATAGCAGTGCCGGTGCTCTGGAGGTGCCACCACCTTGTCCGTTATGAGGTAAGGAAGGAAAGACGCCCCAGTGGTGGCAGGGAAGCCCATGTAGGACGCCTGCACTGGGGCAGGCAAGAGTGCAAATATCTCATTCCTTGCGCCCTTGGTATATCCATTCAGGTTGATCGCGATATGAATGCTGTCGCTGGAGATCTTCATGGCGATGTCCACAACGCTGCACGAAGAAACATCTATGAAATGCTCCGCCTCTGACTCGATCTTGTTCCTCCATTCTGACCCATCTGAGGGCGTCAGTGCGTAGCAGAACACCTCTATCTTGTTCCGGTCATGCAGCCCGAACACCGAGCCCATCAGGTGCGACAGTGGGTGGTTCCCAAAGTCACTGCTGACATAGCCCACCCTCAGCCTCTCCCCAGCCTGGAGCTGCCGACGCGGAGGGTGTGGCAGCTTGGGGCAACCCAGGCGCGCAGCTGTGAGGGCACAGTGCTCTGCGTATTTGCGGCCGATCTTGATGCACAGATCCGCATCGAATGGGTAGGCCATGGCATGGAAGGGCTGCACAGGGGGTAGCCTATTGTTTGCAAGGTCTCTCTTCACCTCGCGCTCCAGCCTCACAAATAGCTGATCCCTGCCCTGCCACTCGCAGATGCACTGCAGGCTATGCACAAGGTTGGCAAAGGCTTCTGGGAAGTCGGGTCGCTTGGACAGGGCCCTCTGGTAGGACTGGATGGCCACGTCGTGCCGGGCTGCATCCTTGTACGCAGATGCCAGGTTGGCATGCGCCTCGGGTGACTCTGGCTGCAACATTGCTATGTGCTCGTAGCATGAGATTGCCTCATGCGCCCGGCCTTGAATCTTGAGGATGCCTCCCAAGTTGTTGTAGGCCACTGCCAGGCGCTGAGCCTGCTGCTGCTGTGCTGCTTGGGGATTGGCACGAAAAGCAGCGGACATCGCTGGGTTGTGGGGACGTTGGTATTGGAGGTTGATGCAAGTCATGTAGCATCGGATGGCCTCCTCGGTCTGGCTGTCTTCCCTCAACGCGTTTCCCAAATTGTTGTAAGCCTCTGGAAAGTTCGGCTCCAGCTGTATGGCCTTCTGGTATGTTGAAATTGCCATGCCAAGCTGACCCTGGTCATAATAAATCCCTGCATACACAGGCCAAACCAATGCCATCCCTCACCCAAAGGATATCACTTGTGTTTTCCATCGGGACATGTCCTTTACAGGGAACGACCCATGCCACTTTCGACTGCAGCTACAAACGCTTGTTCCTGCTACCAAGAAACTGACCCACCACTTGACATGAAAAAACATGCAAGGGCCAGCCCACAGTTCAGAAAGTAGTAACTATCAACTACCTTGCACTGCTGCTCTCTGCACTCTATGATTCCCATGCAGAAATGTGGCCCTGATGATTGGAAAGACAGCATTCAGCAACATGACCACTCACCAGCCAGATTCCCCAAGGACAGGGCACATGAGGGCCGTAGTTTGACCACAGCCTCAAAGCACGCCGCTGCCTCCTCCTTTCTTTTGAGTTCTTTGAAGGACACCCCCATGCCCGTGTAAGCATCAGCATAGTTCGTTTTGATGTTCACAGCTTCCTGTGCATTAAAAATAGGCCAGCAAAGCATTGAGGGAGTAAGCAAGGAGGAGCAAGGGTGCGAGTCCTCGCAAACCCCTGCGCTTTGGCAAAGTTGCCTCTTGTTTGGGAACCAGCATATGGCCTTCTGGGCTTTGTGTTCACAACATAAACAACAAGCTGAGGCAACACCAAATGTCTCTGTCTTCCCCAGCCAAAGCAATGCAACTAGTGTGGGAAAGCAGGACATTGACTCCTACTGACAACTACATATACACCGTCACAGATGTTACCATATAATGAACACCAAACAAACAACCATGGCGGAACGAGCCACACAATGCCAGTTCCCCTGTCAGTTCCCCTCCTTTTAAAATGACCATTTCATCAACGCCGAAACTCTCCAACAACAACAAGGAGCAGCTTTCTGTTTCTTCTGCTGTTTGTGTGTCTTATCTGTTGTTGTGTCATCTGAATTACAAGGCCAAAAACTTTCCTTTCGCTTTTAAGATGTTATAATGGGCACCGATCGCAAGCTGGCGAAAGGCGGTCTCAGTCTTAGTCAGAACCATCCAAGGCTTGGTAGTGCACAACTAACCAACCTGGTAGCACACAACAGCCTGCTGGTGGTTGCCTGCTTCCCTGAACAGGTCCCCCAGGCCCCTCCAGGCTGGGGCATACATCCTGTTGATTCTGAGCGCCTCAGAGTAGCACCTCTGTGCAGCCTGGCGGCCCACCTGGCCCTGGGCTCGCCAGAGGTCCCCAAGGTTGTTGTGTACGTCCACCTGCAGGCAAGGGGAGCTTTCTTTGTCCGATCAAAAAACAATTTTTTGGATGCAAGAAACAGAGCCACCTGAGCCATGCAACTTGAAGGCATTCAAAAACATGCCAACCAACAACCTGCCTTGCCACTGCCCTCCTGTTCGCAACTTGGTGGTGTCAATCCCTTCAGTAATCTCCAATGCTACAACCTGGTCTGCTAATCGAGGTATTGGCAAAGCAAAGGACAAGCCATGCTCAGCGGGTGCACTCACCAGCAGTGGTGTCAATCCCTTCAGTAATCTCCAATGCTACAACCTGGTCTGCTAATCGAGGTATTGGCAAAGCAAAGGACAAGCCATGCTCAGCGGGTGCACTCACCAGCAGTGGGTCCATTCGCAAGGCAGTCATGTAGCACTCCATTGCCTGTGGTATGCAGCCCTTCTGCACAAGAGCACTGGCCATGTTGTTGTAAGCATCTGTGAAGCCAGGCTTCAGGCGGATGGCAGACTGTCAAGAGAACACACACACCAAACAGTCACATCTCTGGGCCGCCCACCAGGACGAATTCCACAAGCAAAGATTGCACTGGGGTCATTGAGCCTGATAATCGCCACACAAAATCCGACATCCTGCCATATTTCGTGCCTCCAGTGACCTTCAATGGTATTGCAGCTTGTCCATGGTATTGCACATGCTGATTGAGACAGGGCCCTGGGTATTAGGTGTTTGGTCTGTGGAGTCCACAGCTCTAGACACCGGCCATGGGTATGATATCACGCTTGTCAGCAGCGTGGCGCATGTGCCGACTGTAGGGTCCCAAGGACAGGGTTGGCCACTGGCAGAAACGTTCATACAGTGAGTGCCGAAGCGTCTGTTCTGACTCTGGTTCCCTGGTGGCAATTCCAACTGAGTCCGTTTGTCAAAAACTTCGTGAGGGACCGCCAAAGCACCCAACAGGCGCTGCCATGTCCTGCGAGCCTGGGCCCAAGGCTTAGTCGAAAAGAGTGCCTTCGTCACACGCCGCTGGTGGGGGCGCCAACCTGATAATAGATAATCGCCATGTCGTAGTTGCCCATCTGCTGCAAGGCGTTGGCCAGGTTCGCGTGCGCCTCCGCCATGCTCCTGTCCAAGACGATGCACCTGTCGTTGAAGGCAATACACTGCTCGTAGTTCTTCATCTGGTAGTAGATCGCCCCAATGAGCAACAGCACGTCCGTCCTGTCGGGGTTGGCGGAGTAGGCCTGCGCCACACCACACCGCCTCCTCACGCCCGTCGAAGCGCCGCGCCCGGCAACGGCCGCCGTCGGGAGACCCGCCCCCAACCGCCATCTACTCCAGACTCGAAATCGTGATCAAACACCGCTGCTCGAGGCGGCAGTAACACACCACGGCTCCTCCAGCGGCCCCACGACTTCGTGACGCCCCCAAGGGCTGCCAGCGCTCCCAGCCAAGGCGTCGGATCACTGGCACAGATGTCGGCTGTACTCCCCCATAGGGTACCCCATCCGACTTGGACGAGAGCTCATCCGATAGCTAGCCGTGGAGCGAGGGCCACTCACCGGCTGGCAGAGGTGCAGCGCCTGGTTGTAGTTGCCTGTCCGGTAGGCGTCGTGCGCCTGCCTCAGCAGCGCCTCCCCGCTGTCCTGCAGCGGCTGCACGGATCCCATCCCGGGGTCCGTGCCGGAGGGCAGCGCCGAAAGGTCGCCGTGGCCGCAGAAGGCCGGCAGTAGCGACGACGTGCCGTTGGGCAGGCCCCAGACGGCGGGATCGCCTGGGGACCGCGCATGCGGGACAATCAGCAAGCAGCGCACCAGACTTTCCGATCGCCGATGCCGGCGCCGCGCAATCGGGCGGTCGCACGGCGGAGTCGTGCGACCTCAACAGAATCCGAGAGATCCGCGCGGTCGATTGCCGGGGGGAGACTAGTGGGACCCAAAGAGGCGGCATCGGTGCCCAACCTTGGAGCCGGGCAGTCGGCGCCGATCACCGGCCGCCGTCCTTTGGGCCCCGTGCGCCTTCGACGCGGTGGGAGGTACGTGCGGGACCAATGCGAAGGCGCTCGGAATCCGAGAGTGAGTCCGCGCCACTGTGTGCGCGCACGCCCAACTCACGGGCCGTGGAGGCGTGCTGCTGGTGCAGTCTCATCAGGTCGGGCGCGGCGCCCATCGGCGGCGCGGCGGCTTGCCCCGGCGCCAGCGGGTCCGAAATTCCCATGGGAGCGGCTCCGGTGGGCCCCCCCCCCGTGGCAAGGTCGTCCATCCGTCCGCCGGCATTGGAGGGCTGCGGCACACGGCGCAAGCACACAACGGCCATCAGACCCGGGCGCCGCGAAAGCATCGATGATCCGTCGACGGGACGGGGACAGGCCCGGCCCATGCCACCTCCCGGCGGGCCGTCCCGCACCCACCTTGGCCTCATCGCCCAGCCCCATACCGCCTCTGGGGCCATTGAAGTAGGACAGAAACAGCCCTTCCTGGTCACCGTTCAGGCCCTGGCCCATCGCCACGCCGCCGGCGGCCGCCCGGCCACCGGCCCCGTAAACGCAGGCCCCCCAGGCCTCCCCGCCAAAAGGCGCCGCCCCGCGCCGGAGCCGTACGGCAATCCCCTCTGAACGGCTCTGATCGCCGCTCCGAGGCAGCCCGTTCCGCCCCCTTCTCTCTTCCTGCCCTGTCTGCTAATCTCCGGCCGGCAGGCGGCCGCCCAGCGCTTTGTCTCCCACACTGGGCCGCCTTGTGGCGCTCGGGAGCAAATAAGTGGACAAATGCTGGCATCATCTTTGGGGACCGCGCCCAGCTGCGCTCCCGAGGCGGGGCCTGCCCCGCGCCGGCAGCCGCGGGGGTCCAGCTCGAGTCCGACGTGGGGCGCAGTGCGTCGTGGCCGCGGCCCGGGACCGGGCCGGACCCGGATGACGTGACCGGCCGCCCGGCGAGGTGCGCACTGTTGAGCGGTCAAGCCGATCCCTCCGTTCTCGTCCGACGGTGGTGTTTTGTGTCGGGTCGTTGTTTCCGGCGGTTGGCTGAAATAATATTACTGCCAGCACCAAATCGGTGACTGCTTGCACCAAGTCACGTGCACACTTTGTCCTAACCTCAGTTTTAGGGTTAGGTTTAGTTCAGGGTGAGTTTTAGGGTTAGGGTTAGGGTTAGGACAGGTTTAGGTTTAGGTTTTAGGGTTTAGGTTTTAGGTTAGGTTAGTTTTGACGGAGCTGGGCATGATGTGCACGTGACTTGGTGCAAGCAGTCACCGTTTTCGTGCAAGCAGTCACCGATTTGATGCAGGGAGTAATTTTATGCCCGGTTTGCTTGCCTCTGCGTGTTGAGGATGTGGAGGCCTAGGACCGGCAGGTGGACCCGGCTGTGGAGCACCGGCGTCCTTTTGTTTTCTTCCCGTCGGGCACTTGGGTTACAAAATTGCGTGGCATTGCGTTGCGAGGCACCGGGGTGCTGATGTGTGAAACGTGTTTTTGCATCGGCAAGCCTATGCGTGGAGGGCGTTGCAACGCGTTGAAATGCAGTAACGTTTTTTCATGTATAAGCAGTCACCGTTTTTGTGCAAGCAGTCACCGATTTGATGCAGGGAGTAATTTTATGCCCGGTTTGCTTGCCTCTGCGTGTTGAGGATGTGGAGGCCTAGGACCGGCAGGTGGACCCGGCTGTGGAGCACCGGCGTCCTTTTGTTTTCTTCCCGTCGGGCACTTGGTGTTACGCGCACCGGCCTGATATGGGGGACGCCCTACTACTGGCCCTTGGTGTGGGGGACGCCCTGCCCAAGATAACTATCCTCAACCGGATACGGGAGTAGGAGGGGTGGTCCCGCCTAGGTCCCCGTAAGGACCTAGGTGCCCGGCGAGGTGGGTCCGCGGCTCAAAGAGGGCAGGAACCCCACACCCACAGACTTTACGTATCATTGGTTTCGGAGCCACCTGGGGGTGGCTACCACGCTTCCGCCTGGGCGGACGTGCAAGCTCGGAGCAGCGGGCTCCCTCCCCGGCCTCCCCCATGGAGGCCGAGGAATTGGATCCTGAAGCCCGGAAGGGCAGCCCCGCATCTTCGGGTGCGGAGGACGATTCACCCCGGAAGGGGACGCCGACCAGTTCGGGCGGCGAGGCCGTTACAACCCGGAATGGGCAGGGAAAGGAAGAAGTCCGGAAGGACATAGCCGGACCATCGGCACCACAAGAGGGGCCGGAAGGAGGCGACCAGCCGATGGCCGAGGCGAAAGAAGCTCCAAAAGAGGAGGTGCCAGAACCGGGTACAGTGGCGGCCCTACTACAGGCACCGGGCATCATGGAGCTTTTGGAAAAGATGGTGGCTACGGCGGCTCAACAAGCGAGGGCGAAGCGGGATGAAGAGACCGCCGAGAAGATTCTCGCCCTCGAGACTGAGGCGATCCAAGCGAAGAAGGAAGCTCGCAGAAATGAGGTCGCCATGCGAAAGGCGAAAAAGCTGAGCCGCCAGGCGGAGGAGGCCAAGACCTCCGCTGAACAACATGTCGCCCAGTTGAGCGATCGCCTACTAAGCAGAAGCTGAGAGCTTAGGAGGCGGAAGAGAAGGTCGCTCAACAGAAGAAACAGCCCGAAATGGGCACTGGTCCATCTGAGCCGCTGCCGAGAATTCCAGAAGTAGAGGGCGACTGGAAGGTTGTCGGCAAGCAGCGGCCCAAGCGAAAGAGCCCGTCGCCAGGTGAGACGGTGCCAAAATTCCGGACGAGTGAGAAAAAAGGCTGGAAGGTCCAGCCCGTTGGGCAAATGGTGGAGATCGGAGGCCGGAAGTTCGAGACCCATGAGCCAAGGGTCAGATCACAGGTGCACATAAGAACACCTAGTGAGCCAGAGCAGAGCAGTAACGAGTCGCTCACGGAAAGCGCTCGTGCTGTATGTGGCCATAGTCCGGAAAGGCCGAAAGGTCAAGATTGGAGTCCCCGGAGACCCGCATTACCAGAGTGGGGACCGGGAGAGAGCACCAGGGTGCTGGAATTTATTCCGGACACTGGTACGCCATATAGCCGGCAACCACCGTGCCATGCTATGTGGACGAAGTTCCACAGTGATCTTGTGGACAAATTACCCACGACGAAGGCTGGCAAATGGCCACCAAACATTTTGGAGAAAAATTAACCACCGCGAGATTAGTGAGAATCCAAAGGTGGTACGGTCCTGGGATGGCAGACCAAATAGCCAGAGAGGACCCGCAATGGCCTGAAAAAATGGCTTTTGCCCTCAGGCACATCCCGGAACCATGGGACTTGAGCGAGGGAACGCCGGAAAGGCCAGATCCCAACGATCCCCATGAGCGGTGGGCAGAGATCTCTGAATTGTCGTTCTCATCCTGCGCTTCCCCGATGCCGGGAGATATGTCGACGTGGGCGCAAGTGCATAGAATGGAAAAATAGAGACAACACATGCGAAATCGAGATCGGTTCGCTCGTGCAAAGAAGTTGGATGAAAGGAAGGCGCGAAAAGCCAGCCAGCGCAGAGAGATGAAAGCCTTTTGGCGTGAGCGAGATCGGCTGTTAAATCCGCAAAAATATGAGCGGAAGAGAGCTCACAAACACCAGCGCAAGGCTGAGATCAGGCGGTTTTTCGCTGCAGGAGGCAGCCAAAAGGCGCAGCGCCTTGAGGCGAAGCTGGTGGCCGACGAGCTGGATCCGGCCCAACAAGCGAAAGCTTTTGCTGAGCTTGAAAGGGCCCCGCCGCAGCAAACGGCCAGATGGGCTGATGAGTCGAGCGGATGCGATAGTGGTATGACCCACCCCGCTCGATTCATCCCTCTACAGCCTGGAAAGGCATCGCCTCCAGTTGCGGAGACTTCAGTCCCCAAGGAGGCAACATCTTCTAAGGAGAAGAAGAAGCCTGAAAAGGCAAAGGAGCAGCCTGAAAAGGCACAGCAGCAGCCTGGAAAGGCAAGGGAGGAACCTCAAGGAACTCAGAGAGTAGTTCCAGGTAACATTGTCGATGCAGTGTCTCCCATTAACCCTGCTGTAAAAACACACTTGCGTACATGTGCAGAAGTTGGTGATTCTGCTGGACATGACGAAGTTGTGTATCTCGGTTCGGCAGGGGAGCCGGCAGAACCCATTCCTCAAGAGAGGAGGGAAGTTTATGCTGCTGTGCAAAGGCAGGAGACTGCCCTGGAAAAGGCCAGGGCAGAAGCTGATAAGACTGCTCGACTGCTGGCCGTGATGGGGGAAGAGGATTATGCCGAGTTCTTGCAGTTTCAGGAGTCTCGACGTGCAGGCTGGCAGACCAAGGGAATTACCCCCAGCGAGAGCAGTTCTGGACAGGAACCCAGTGGTATCAGATACCTGCCTGGGAAGCCTGGTCCAGGATATCAGCAGCGCAGGGCGCAGCAGCTCGAAAAAGAGCCAAGCCGACCTCAAGTGCCCCGTGAAATGCCCCAAAGACCAGCTCCTGTGGTGCATGCTCCTGTGATACAGGATGCCCATGGGTTTTGGGATACGCTGGGGGCATTTCATGACCCATTCTGTGGTGTGTACTACAAAGGGTACTACCACCCACGGGGAGCCCGGGCACCATACAGGGACGAGATCCCAGCAGCTGCACTGCAGCGCATTCCCGTGAAACTCCACGGGTTATTCGATGCACACCAGACTGCACTGGGAATTTACGTGCCCGGAAGCCAGGAGGCGGCTACAGAATGGCGTGCTGTGCACAGCACTGGCCGCAGAATGCAGGAGGAGGAGCCCGTAAGGGTACAGACGGGGCTTGGAGTGCAGGCTGGCCCCTCAGCGCCGGTTCGTCCAGTGGCTCAGCCAGGAATGGCGCCAAGACAACCGGCGATACCTTTTACGATGGGCCAGACTGGGCCAAGGGGAGCGCAGCCTCCGCTGCCATCTACGTAGCAGCAGGAAATACAAAGGTTGCAGGAGATGTCTCCCTTCGTTCAAGTCCCGGCGGCCTATCAGTATTATCAACCCGGAAGGGTACAGCAGCCCAAAAGGGGACAACATCCCGAAAGGGAGCAGCAGGCGGTCATCGCCCCAAGGCAGCACATGGCCCCAGCACAATCCTACAAAGAGCCCTCCTATCCGATGGAGTCGGAGGAGTTCGAGGAAGTGTATGGGCACCCGCCAAGCTACATGCAGGCGCCTGAACCTTAGTATCAAGAACAACATGCTGCAGTAGCTGAGGAGCTGCCAAGGGCCATCGAAGGGCCACCACCGCCGCCAGCCGGTTATGATCCCATGGGCCCCGGATACATGGGCCAGGGAATGCTGGCAGCGGCTGAGGCATTGCTCGCGCACGGCAAAGGGAGAATGAGGGTGAGAGCATGCCTAAAATGAATACCCAAGGCATGAACCCCCCAAAGTGGAATGAGGACAAGCAGGCCTTGACAAAGTGGTTGCAAGAAATCGTGATGTATTTCAAAACCACTGTTGCACCCCGATCTCAATGGGGATGGATAGCACTGAATTCTCTAGAGGAGTCAGTGAAACACGGCCTACTTGCACAATTGGGGCACCTGTGGGGGGTTACAATTG